TTAAGTTCCAGCGCCATGGTTTCCCGCCTGGTTATTATGACAGCCATTCAGAACAGGAGCCGTGCGTGTGACATTCCCTTTCCTTCCTGCCAACCAGCTTGCTCCTTGCAGAAGGGAAACTCCCTCAATTACAAATCTGATGTGTCACTCTCTATAGAACCTGTCAACTGATTCCCCATTGCCTTAGGATGGCTGAAAGATCCTTCACTCATCTCTCACTTTTCCACGTCCATCTCCTACCACTTCACTCTCTAGACAGAAGCCACACTCTCTAGACAGAAGCCATACGGAAATACAACGCCTGTCTTTTCACACCCCACTTGAACATCACCCTTTCCAGGAAGCTTTCTGTGACCTATCCTAGGTGCACCTCCTAAAGATGTTATAATGATGTTTGCCATAGCATTTATTTTATATATACTGCAATGGATTATTTATTTGTCAAACTTTCTCACTAGGCTGTTCTTTAAAGTAAGGCATTGTTTCTTACTAATCTTTATATTCCCAGTGCCTACTATAGTACCTGACACATGGAAGAAACAAAAATGTTTGTTGAGTGAATCTATGGGAAGGAGCAGGATATATGAGTCAATAGAGTGCTGCTATCATCTAAGCATGAAGCCAGGAAGGTCTCGTCTCATAGTGATTGTGGGCACTGGAGAAATGACTGGCAAAAGACAATCCAACTCACTAACCGCTGACTGAACACCCCTCTGTACCAGGGACTACAGAGTCCCAGCCCTCAAATAATGGACAATTTAGCAGGTAAGGCATGACACAAACAAACCATAAAATGTGACAAGTTCTAGAATAATAACAAGTACAGTGCTTTATAAGTCCTGAACGTAAAGCAACTAATTCTGCTGGAAGTGAGGGAGGGAGGTTACTACAACAGGTAGTAACCTTGACACTGAACCTTGCAGGCTATACAGGATTTTGCCAAGCAGAGAAGGGAAACAGTAGTATTCCAAAGAGGAAACTGGATGAGAAAAGCGAGAGGGCACAGGGGTACACAATGTGCTCGAGGAATCAGAATATAAGCTATGTCTGTTTTTCAGCTAGGTTTCCAATGCTTAGAAGAGTGTCTGACTCATAGTATGTGCTTGGTAAATCTTAGCTAAATGAAAGAATCTACAAGTATTTCGATGTGGACAGAGAGTAGGATGTGTGACAACAGATGAAGCTGGAAAGGTGGTGGGTGGCCAGATGATAAAGAACCTCAGTCTCAGGCTAAGTGTCTCAGAATAGGCTGGTAGACATCAGGGAACCATTAAAAGGTCTACAGCAAAGCCCCAATGCAATCAGAGCTAGAGTTCAGGAACAACTGTAATGGTATTATGGAATATGGTACTAAGACCATATTTTTCATGAGTTAAGTAGAGGGGCCAACCAGGAAAGGGACACAGTCATAATATCTTTTACCTACCCTGAATATGTGAAAGAGAAAGAGAAGAAAACACATGGAGGTGTGTTGAAGTAATACTGGCTTATAGATTAAATATTTGTGCCAGGTAGAAGAAGAAATAGGGGATACAAATGGGTGTTGAGGACATAAGTGAGCAAAGTAAGGTTGCTTATTCCAAAGCAAGAAACCAGACAGATTGATGAGAAACATTAAGAAGAAACTAAACAGCAAAAACTAACTGACACTGAATTACAACACTCAGGATTCTGTATAAAAATCTTGGTAGCTCTCTCAACGTAAGCACAGACCTGCATGTAACTAATTCTCTCTGTGAATATATAGCAGGAATGAATAGGAGAAGACAAATAGGTACAGATAACACAATTGCATCATCTACTAGATTTACAGGGTAAAACAGAAGAATTAAAAATGTATGAAATTATTAGGTTAGGTAACTGGGAGAATTACAACTCTGTTAACTAAGACTAGGAAATGCCAGTACAGGATGTAGATTTGAAGGAGGAAAATACTTGCAGTTTTGAATGTGATGAACTTGGGTACCTGTAGGGAATCTAGTTCAAAATGAAGCACAGAAAGAGGTCAGGATCTCAGAAAGATTTAGGAGTCAGAAGCCAAACAGATATAAGTAGAAACCATTGGCTAAGAGGTTACCTATGGAGCACCTTCAAGGTGAGAAGAGGGCCAAGGACCGGAGATGACTGACATTTCAGAAGGAGGATGGATAAAAGACAATAAAGGAGATTCACAAACAACACTAAGAAAAATAGGTGGAAAAAAGGAGTAAGGATGGAGGTAACAAGAATGATAATAAACACTGATGGAGCATAAATACACATGTCAGCCCCTGTTCTAAGCATTCTATCTCTATCAACTCATTAATGCTATTATTAATAGTACCCTGTGAGATCAGTACTATAACTATCCTTATTTCATAGACGAAGAAACTGAAGGACAGAGAGGCTAAGTAACTTGTTGAAGTTCTCACAATTAATAAATGATAAGAGCCAGAATTTGAACCTAGGCAGTGTCTCCACAGACAAGGGAGTTTCAAAGAAGAAAAGGTAGCCAACAGTTAAATGTGGCAAAGTACTAGAGTAAGATTTGAGGTTTTCAAATTTGGCAATTAGAAGCTGACTGATAGGGGCACCAACCAGAATAAAGTGGATTAAAAAGTTAATGGGAAGTGAAATGACAACCCACAGAATGTAAGAAAGTGTTTGCAAACCATATATCTGATAAGGGATTTGTATCCAGTATATAGAACCATTCCAACTCGATAATAAAATGACAAAAAAACTCAGTTTTTAAAAATTGGCAAAGAATCTGAATAGACAGCTCTCCAAAGATATACAAATGGCCAATATGCACATGAAAAGATGCTCAGCATCATTAGTCATCAGAGAAATGCAAATCAAAACCACAATAAGATACCACTTCACACCCACTCAGATGGCGATCATCAAAAGTCAGATAATAACAAGTATTGGTCAGGATGTAAAGAAACTGAAACCCTCAGACATAGCTGGTGGGAAAATAAAACAGTGCAGTGCTTTGGAAGGTGGTCTGGCAGTTCCCCAAATGGCTAAACATTGAGTTGCCACATGATCCAGCAATTCCAGTCCTAGGTATATACCAAGAAATGAAAACTTACATCCACATAGAAACTTGTACATGAATGTTCATAAGAGCATTATTTATAATAGTCCCAAAATGGAAACAACCCAAATGTCCATGAAGTGATGAATGGATAAATTCAATGTAATATATCCATACAATGAAATATTATTTGGCAATAAAAAGGAATGAAGTATTGATAAATGCTACAACATGGATGAACCTTGAAAACATGCTAAGTGAAAGAAGCCAATCCACAAAGGACCACATATTGTATGATTCCTTTTATATAAAATGTCCATATAGACAAATCTATAGTGATAGAAAGTAGATTTAGTGGTTGCCTAGCATTGGAGTTGGAAGGGTATGAGTGAGGCGGTTTGGAGGGTAATGGCTAAGGGATTTGGGGTTTCTTTTTGGGGTAATGAAAAACATCTTAAAATTGTGAGTGTACTAAAAGATTTGATTTGTATCCTTTAAATAGTGAATTGTATGATGGTAGGTAAATTATATCTCAATAAAGCTCTTAAAAAAGTTAATGGGAAGTAGAAGGTAAAGACAGGAAATACTTCCATGAGTGGGGAGGCAAGGTTAAAGAAAGATTTTTGGAGGTTAGGGAAGATCTCAGTATGTTTATTGATTGAGCTAAATAAGTGAAAAAAAGAGAGCTTGATATAAAAAAAGACATCACAGATTAACCAAAATCCCAGAGGGGGTGGATAGGAAGAAAAAAGAAAAATGGTGACACCTCCAAGTAAGGATGAGTGAAGATACAGATAGCTTGTGGTCAAGGTAAGTTGAGAGTTCATACTAGAAGGATCCTATTTTTCACTGACAAAGAAGAAGAGGTCCTCAGCTGAATATAAGTAGGAGTAAGAAGTTCAGAAAAGAAAGAAAAGTTGAAAATTGCTGATAAGAATGTGAAAAAGCAATAGATAAAAAGCTTGTCAAGTAGAATTGAGCAGTATGAGAACAGAAATAAGTTTTAATGGGGCTGATAAGCATGATGATATGATATCCTCAGCTAGACTCGTCAGTCCAGAGCTGGTAAACTGAGAGGGCAGAAGATTGGGCTGTTTCAGGGGTTGAAGGATGCTGAGAGTGTAGATGAAATGCTTGATCCTAAGGTCCCATTGAGTGGGGAAGGCAGTGACACCAATGGATATGGACATTTCAGAGGAAGAACTGAATTTAGTGACCGATTCAATATAAAAGATGAAGGAGAAGAAAAACAAAGAATCAAACAGAATTCCTCATTCATTTATCTGAAAAAACGGGCAGATTAATGACCAAAACAGAGTTCTTGGAGGGGGAGGCACGCTACTGATAGATGACTTACTCAAAAATATAACTGTAAGGTTTAGATCAAAAAAGCTTAGATGAACAACTATGTCATTTTTAAGAGGAATAAAGGGAGGCCCAGAGATGTTCAATGAGTTTGCAGAAGCTATAAGGTACTAAACAAAGGCTGGAAATGACTGAAATCCAGGACATCCGATTATATCCTACAGTCTCACTAGTATTTGGAGTTTGACATGATGGCAGGAAATACAAATGGTGACGTTCTTGAGGAGATTCAGTAACACTAAAATCGGTTTGAAATGCTAGGTTCATTTCAGGTGATAGTGGGGAAATATGATCCAGGAACAAAACGAATGACAGGAGAAGCCAATCGGAGATCAAACATTTGCTCTGGTAATCCACCACAGAGATAATCAAGAGTTGGATGCAGAGTGATATAAGCACCTTAAAATATTCTAATGTGAGAACATTTTATGCTTCAAAATCCTCTCAATGTTATTTGGCAATACAGATGACAGGACATATAAATTTATCATGGCTTAGAATTTTAAACATTAAGAAGAGCTTTGCTTACTTTTCAGGTTCTTTTTATGTTACAAAAATATGAAATACTGAAGTCTGATTAGGTCTCTTTTAAGGGGCTAGATATTCGCCTTACCTTTACTACCTTGTAGTCACACAAGTATTCCACCTCATAATTGTTTAGATTCCTTTTGGTGATTCCAATCGATTTACATGTGAGCTTTTCTTTTCTACATAATTCCTGAAGAGTATCAAGTGAAACTAGGCAAGGCACACACCAAGCTACAATAAGAAAATACAATTCTTTACTAATGAAATAGCTACTCAATTAAAACAAAAAAGAGAAACTTAAAACCTCTAGATCCCCACCATTTAAATGGCAATTTTACAGACTAAAAATTCATATGACAAGAAACCAATTATGTGTCTTCCAGAAAAAATTAAGCATTAAAGAACTATTTTGGTAAATTGGATTTTTTCACAGATTTTGATCCTACTATGTTTAACTGACATCAGTTAATTTCTACTAAGCCACTTGAACAAAATGTGCATCTATAAGCTTTTTAAAGATCATCTATAGATGCAAAGGTCAACAGAGTTAACATTTTTGATTTCCATTATTATTCTACATAAAATATAATTGCTATTTTAATAAAACAGATCTCTAGGACATATTTATTGTATGTATACATATCTAAAATATATCTTAAAATGCAATCTTATAATTTGTTAAAGTCACTTTTTCATTTAATTGGACAATAAAAAATGAAATCTAATTGGAATACAGTTCTACAGTTATGAACTCAAATCATCATGTCCTAGTTTTCCCACTTTGGAATGTTGCATGAAATTTTAAATCCACTTATTATTTTGCCCCTGAGGCAATGTATTATCATCAAAGTGAATTAAGCCAAGAGTTATAATTTAAAAATGGAGAGTATATTGATTTTTGTAACACTTATTGCCTGTATTGTTTTAAAAGCCAAGAGTTACCAGTGTTCAGTTTACATAATCCATATATTGAACTTGAAGAAAATCAAGACATACTCATAATCAACCTTAGAGATGCCAGAAACTACTTGTTGTAGAAGATTTTACCCTCAAATTTCTGTAAACGGTATGCTACCATACCGAATTTCAAGTATAAATTAACAAAGCCATGTTTACAAAAACGTAATAAACTTGGTTTTATGGCTAGTGTCACAGCAAGCACTAGACAGGAGAAAGAGTCCTCTGCCCTACCCCTTGCCTAGCCACCTAACTACATGACTTGAGGTCTCGATCTTTCTGAGGTGTCAGATTCATTGAAAAAAAATGCGAGGGGTGGAAAAATTGGGTTTATCAAACAAAATCTATCAGTAAACTCAAGCTTTACTTGGTAGCTCTCCGACGTTGTTGCAATAACCTTGTGTTTCGAGGTAATTTCCAGGGAAGAGAGAACTTTACTACATCCTTTTCTCACCCTCCCCAACTCACACAGCGACTTTATTGTCAGAAACTCTTAAGCATAAACTTCCACCGCCCCCATTGGCTGCAGACGACTAAACCAAGAAAGGGAAAGATATTCTCCCCTGGAAAATTTAGGGGACGAGATTGATAGCTTTGGAGTGATGGGTTTGGGGGCAGGGCAGCGATGAAAGAGAAATGATCCTATAAGCCCCTTCCATCTAAAAAACTTGAGGTTGTTTTGTGTAAAGTTAACTTCATTATGCTGATCACATTCAAAGGCGGTTCCTCTTGGGTGTCTACTCAAGGTATATTGCTCCGCTGTTCCTAAAATGTTTTTTTGTTTTAATCTAGTTGGGGATTCCAAACACAACCCTCGATAAAAATGCTACCTTTGAGAAAAAGTAAATTTGAACATACAAAACTGCAAACACTTGGTTAAAAAAAAAAATCAGTCCATGCTAATGCAGAGAAAGATTTGACTGACAAAAATCAAATACTTCTTTACCACCGCAAAAATCTTTCACTACTTCACATTAACCCCTGCTGTTCTTAAAGGAAGAAAAAGGTTCAGGGATAATGAGGTCATAATGTCCGTGGAGAAAAGCAGAGCGTGAAAACACCTCTAAATTCCAGAATGCACTGGAAGTTCCAGGCTTTCAAAGCGCGCGCGACACACCCCCACGCGCGCGCCCACTGTCCAATTCTTCAGCGTTCTATGCATAAATAACACGCAAGTTCCTGGTGGGTGGAAAAGTTACCGCAAGCCACACGCTGCGCCCTCAGACGCCCACTTTCTGGGAGGTTTGCAAAGAGGCGCTGAGCCTCCTAGTTGTGTCCGCACTGGGGGGAGGGGGGGGTCCTCGCTCACTCCCACTCGCGTCGCACCTCAGCCCCAATTTCCTTCTCCCCCGAAATTAAGGTCACGTTCACACCCGCGGTTCCCGCTTCCCCGTTAAAAGGCCAGAGCGCACACCTCACGCCCGCGCAAACCACCACAAAGGAGTCGAGCCACAGCAGAGCCTGCAAGACGCGGGCCGGGAGGCGGGTCAGCGGCCCGGGGGGAGGGTGGGAGCCCGCGGCGCGCACCCCGGGCTCAGAGGCTCAGCCGGGCGGCGTCCAGCCACGGAGCGGTCCAGCTGGCCCGCGGGAGCGCCCCGCTGCCCGGGCCCCGGGCACGTGCCTGGGGACGGGCAGGGCGAGGGGCAGCGCTCCAGCCTCACCTCCTCGCGTCTCGGCCCCGGCCGCCGCCATCTTGAGGAGCTTTCATTCAAACTGGCGCGGTCTGACGGGATAGCTCAGCTGGCCCGACGCCCCGCCCCTGCCCGGCCAGCGCGGGACTCTGGGGGCCGGGGCTCGGGGCTGGCACCCTCAAAGCGTCCTGACGTCACCGGAGGCCGACCCCGGCCGCAGCGGCCAACGCGCCTGCGCCTTACGCCCAGCCCGGCGTGGGCGAGGCGGAGCGGGGGCGGGCCATATTCGGCGCCGGGGACCCGCCTCTGTGTTAGGGGGACCCTCTTCTGGGCTGGCCGTCCCCTCCCTTTGCCCGGCCTACCTCACGCCTTCCCACGCTTCGGTTTTGACCTGTCTTACGCCGAAACCACGCGCGCACTGCGAGACGCGAACGTGCAGCGGGGTACACGGTGCAGGGAAGCGTCCCTCGCGGCCCCGCTCCTCGCGCCTGAGCCCAGCAGCCCTTGTTGCGTTCCCTCCCACACCACCGCCCCAGAGCACGAGCTCGGAAGATTGGCCGCACGTGGGGAACCCTGGAGAGGTTCGGTCTGATCCGACTGCTGAGATTCTGATTAATTGGCACGGAGTGTGGCCAGGCGTTAAAGCTTCCCAGGCGACTCTAATGTGCGGCGCGGTTAGAAACCACCGGGCGCCCTCAGGGCTTCCCACTTTAAGGGGAATAGCAATCGGCTGGGGGTGCTTGATTTTAATATACAGATTTGAATTCGGTAGGTCTGGGACGGGACCTGAGCTTCTGCTTCTGACTGGTCTGGGGGTCACACTTGGGTGGCGAAGCGTCAGCAGGACGGCTCCGGGGCCTCCGAGCTGTCTCCTTCCCGCGCCACCCGTTGTTCACACCGCGGACACGGCGACTGTTCTGAACACCATGAAGCACAAATCTTAGAGAAGGACAAGCTGCGAAAACTTTCGTAAAAAGCCATTTGACATCTACCGAGGATTTTTTTGAAAATTCATGTTAGAAACTACATAAATATTTCAGAGTAGCATGTGTAAATTCGAAAGACTGGAAACAAACGCAGAGCATTAAAAGAACGGTTATTTGATTCCATTATGAAATTCTGTCTAGTCATCTAAAAAAAGGTGTTTATGAAGCTTTTAGTGTCCTGGGGAAGTGTTTCATATGTTAAGCAAAAACAAAACAAATCCCCTAAAACTATGTCAGAAAAAATGTATGGGAAGATACCGAAATACAGTCTTTCTGGGGTGATTTTTTCTCTTTGAGTTTTTACATATGAAACATTTTCTATAATGAGCATTCATTGCCTTGATAATAGAGAATACAAGGTCCTGTTCATCGCTATCACATGGAAGGGCATTTGCTAAGATTACTTCTCCAGACCCTTGAAGACTTGGAGAGATCTCAAAGCATCGCCTTCGCTCTCCGGATGTCCGCACAGCACACCACGAGCGTCCACGGCTACTCAACTTCTTTCTTGGTTTTCCTTCTACCTCACTGGCCACTTTCCACTGCCCTTTTGGGCTCCTTTTCCTGTATCCGACCTAAATGTTGGAGTTCTTCAGGGGTTAGCCCAGGGACCACATTTCTCTTACGCTCTCCCTATGTGACTGCCTCAGTTCCCATGGATTCAAATTATTATCTTTACACAGTAAGATTCCCAACTTTTTGTCTCCAGCCCTGACCTCTGATGAAATATCTTATGGTTTCTTGTTATGGACTGAATGTTTGCGTCCCCCAGAATTCATATGTTGAAATCCTTAACCCTCAATACGACGGTTTAGGAAGCAGGGCCATTGGGAGGTGATTAGGTCGACGAGGATAGAACCCTTATGGATGGGATGGATTAGTGTCCTTATATAAGGGCCCCTACAGAGCTCTCTAGACCTGTCTTCTGTGAGGATGCAAGATGGTAACAGTCTACAACCAAGAGGGCCCTCACCACAACCTGACCATGCTGGCACCCTGATCCCAGACTTCCAGCTTCCAGAACTTTGAGAAATACAATAAATTTCCGTGTTTACAAGCCACCCAGTCTATGGCAGTTTGTTATAGCAGCCCAAACTAAGATACGTCCTGAGACTTACACATTATATGTAGGTATTTCTTCCCATTTTTATATTTGGCACTGTTCTTTAGAGAATGTCAGACATGCAGGTAAACAGGCAAAATTAAAACTCGACATAACCTTTTGCTGATAAGCACTCAAGTTTTAAAATATGTATATGACGCAGCAAAGATAACTGGCAAGTGCACAAAAAATTACCAAGATGTTCACCAAAAATATCTTAAAAGTTGTTACTCTGGGAGGTAGAAGACAGAATGTTTTATGTTTTTTTCTTTTTGAATTTAAATTTTATAATGAACATGTAACATTCTTAGAAAAAAACATAAAGCTATTTTTACCTTGAAAAATAAAAAACACTAGAAAACTTAGCTGGCAAATCTTTCACCAATTTAGAAGAAAAAATAACTTGTCACTTGAAGGTACAAGAAATTTGGAAGAATTTCATTAGGCAATAGAACACTTATTGATGATGATTTCAAATTTCATATGGGAGAAAAAACATGCCAAGCTGACCCATGAAGTCAGAAGTAATGGTATTCCTTTCCTTCTTTATTGTGTTTCTAAATAAACTATAAGAAATGCAAAAGATGTACTTACTGGCCATTGTCCTGTAGGATACAAAGATAACGTTTTCTTCCACGTAATTCATTTACTAGATAAACATTTATGAATACCTGCTATGTTCAGGTACTGTTCTAGGGGCTGAGACAAAATGGTGACTTAAGACTGAGGGTCTGTCACAATGCTTAATAATCTAGTCAAGCAGTCAAATAACTAAATTATTACCTAAATATGGAAGAAAAGAAACTTCTAAGTCTTATACAGATTTCAATAATCTACTTCATGCCAGGCATGATGGCTCACACCTGTAATACCAGCTGCTCAGGAGGATGAGGTGGGAGGATCACTTGAGGCCAGGAGTTCAAGACCAGCCTGGGTAACATAGCAAGACGCCATCTCTAAAAAATTTAGCCGGGCGTGGTGGCACACACCTGTAGTCCCACCTACTCAGGAGGCTGAGGCAGGATTGCCTGAGCCCAGGAACCCAAGCTGCAGTGAGCTATGACTGCACCACTGTACACCAGCCTGGGCGACAAAGTGAGACCCTATTTCTTCAAAAAAATTTAAAAAAAAAATCTACTTCAGGGGTCGACAAACTTCTATGAAGGGCCAGATGGTAAATATTTTAAGCTTTGTAGGTCATACAGTTTTTGTTGCTACTACTCAACTCTGCCTTTTTAATGTAAAAACAGCCACAGACAATACCTATACAATTAAGGGTGGCTACATTCTAATAAAACTTGATTTACAACAACAGGCATGGGATAGATCTGACTCATTGGCCATAGTTTGCCAACTTCAGTCTATTTTAAAAAGCTAACAATTAATTACAAAATAAAATCCTAAAACACTTTTCCAAAGCATAGTTGAAAGTATTTAGTCCTAGCAGGTGAACTAGTTCTGTTGCTATTTTCCAATTTTCTGAAGACACTTAATGGTTTATACATACATTAATTTTCTTTCAAATTTTTTATAACTTTGGGAAAGATCCTAAGAAATAACTAAGTACTCAGTTGAAAGAGTGTATATACCTTTGATGCTACTTCTGATGACTTTGTAGACTTAAAAATCACATCTGAATTCTCTTCATGGTTCTGTCAATTTGATACAGATCATGAAAAAAATTTAAGTTCGGTTTCTGTGTCTTTAGAAACTTCTAGAAGAGTATTGCCACCCATCTGCATAAAAAAATTTTAATAACAAAGCACATCCATAAAGTTTGAATAGATTAAAAACAGCACAGTTTTTTGTTTTTATTTTACCACTGAGTAAAGGTATTTCCTCTCCTAGTTCTGCTGAAACCCAAGGAGAGAAATGAATGAAAACTCTCTTAGGGATACAACCTAGATCTGCTCATCTTCTAGCTCTTCCCCCAGTATGGGCAGATCGGTTCTCTTGTTTTACTTAGAGAATAAGCTTTTTCACTGGGAGCCCACTGAAGATCTATGCTCTAGAGATGTTCTCTGATGAACAGAATGTGGCTACCCTTCTCTTCAAAATAAAAAAAAACTTTCAATAATAAAAGAAAAACATGTTTGTTGGAGGGAAAAAAAAAATCAAACTTATCAAAAAAGTAAAGAGAAAAAGTAAAAGCCCCTGCCCCAATTGTTGATTTTATGAGTTTACTTTTTTCTTAATGTATCTTACTTTGCATGTGGTTCTGCAATTTTTTTTCAATTAATATCAAGGACTTTTAATTGTTCTCTTCATTAATTATCTAACAAGAGTAAAAGACTTTTTAAAATTGGAAACTATAGAAGCAGAAAAACTTAAAAAACACCATGTAAAATTTCCTTCAACCAACTCAATTTAATTCTGAACAGCTTCATGACAAAAAACTTGTATTTCCCACCAGTAATTGTTCATCTTACATGAAAAACAAAAAAAGGATGCAACATTTACTGATATATTGTAGTTTAATAAAAACATAGCTTATACTGTTCATTGAAAAAGTATTTTAATATAAACACCACTTATACACAAAACCAAATAATGTTGATAATGTTGTTTTAAAAAATCCTCGGTTTCTCTAAAACACTAAGATGCCACCTCAATAGTGATAGCTTCACATTTTCCAGTCTCTTGATCTGTGCATGTCACATGTAAAGATCCATCCCTAAACAAACAAAAAACAAATAACACCGTATAAGCTTATTTCATAGAAACAGAAAATCCATAACAAATTACTTGAGGACTTTGAGTAAACAAGGGTTAATTTTAATGTCTAAAAGAATATTCAGATAAAGAACAAACACAATCACAGTGTCTTTAAATGTAGTATCATATGCTATATTTAGATAGTTGTTCTTAGAAATCTCCTCCTAGACCACTAAGACAATAGTTATATCCCTTGAAAACCCATGATGGCACACATCTTAAGTTTAAGACTTCATGCAAGCTTAAGATGTATCAAGCTTTTTTCAAGCCCAGGCCAAGGTATACCCACCCTGATGAATTCAACATTCTTGCTAAGTACGGTTTTAGAATAAGTTGTCCCTAACGTTAATCTGGAAGGATTTACTTGTAATACATAGTGGTATGGATAACCTATTGTTAGGGATATGGTAATGGCTGAATTTAGATAGCCATTTATTTCCTAGAGATTTTCTGTAGCAGTAATGAAATAAACATCCTTTCGTAGGGCAAATAGTATCAATTATATAAACTTTGGAAAATTATATTGAAAATTGATAAAATTACATCTCAAATTAGCATG